AAAAATTGCCATTATTGGTTGAAAATCATCTCCTTCTCAGCAGTCTACTACATTTGCTGTCATATGTCGGGCTGATGAAGAATTTTTTACTGATGCATTTTGTATGAATTTTCATTTCCAGGTCGGGGCGGACGTCCTTTTCTGCATCTTGCTGCAAAGAAGCCTTTAATTAAAAAATCCAGTCGTGCACCGTCCAAACGCTACAGGTTGCAAAATTTAGATTTTGTTTTCACTAGTAGCAGTATATTTTTTCATTTACTCCGTTCTTAAAACCATAAAATTTTTAGGCCTGGAGCTAGAGCTTTAAGGGAAATACGCCATTTCCAAAAAACTACAGATCGATTAATTCCAGCCGCTCCTTTTATGAGGTTGGTTCGGGAAATTGCCAATGAGTGCTCTTTTATTAAAGATGGAGTGAGGTTTCAATCAGAAGCCGTAAAGGCGCTTCAGGAGGTCTTTTATTTTGATTTTTCGATGAGATATGGTTAAGCATCGTTTGGTTGCTCTCTGTTTCAAGTATCAAAAATTTTTTCTTTACACAGCTCCATTTATATCTTGATTTTGTTAAATGAATAGATCAGATTTTAGAGTGCAGAAGCATTTTTGGTTATGATATTTGAGCAAGCGAACTTTCTGGCCCTTCACGGTAGGAGAGTGACTGTGATGCCACGAGATATACAGTTATGGCGACTCATAAAAGAATTTTGATTTTAATAACTTTGTCTATAGTGCTCGGCTTAGAACCGTTGTAATCAGTGAGGAATTTAACGCTTGCGTGTTCAAAGCCATTTTTATGAACACTAGATACTTCTGACAGGCAATTTTGAGTTTAGAACTAGGTTGCCACAACTTTCAAATAAGCGGTGCTCAACGAAAGCAGGCGTTTTGGATATCTTCTGTCTGACTGGCTTGCAGTCGTCAGCCACTTCTTACTCGGAAGTTTGGCAAACTAATTTCTAAACTGAAATTGTTTGTTCGGAATTTCGGTATTGACAGAGTAAGTGGATTTTTCAAACGTTTTCTTTGTGTAGGATTATTCTTCGGCAGTTGAGGTTTAACTATAAAAGCAGTAGGGGTGGGTGTTATTCCGGACTTTAAATACCACTGATTACAGAAGGAACGTGAATTTTTATTTAGTCATTTTTTCGCTTTCCAAGTCGATTGTGTAATAAGATGTTAGTTTCATGTATATGCGTTTTATGCTGTATAATCAGTTTTGTTTTTTTGACGAGTTGTTGTGTACAACATCAATATTGCTTGAAAAATAAAAACAAATTTGTGTCATATGGAGTTTGTTTTGCAATCTATTATTGATTGACGTCGTGCTAAAAGGTTATCAGTAGTACTTTAGCCCTTGAAAAGTCAGCGTTGGCTAGGATTACGACATTTTTTTCGGCCGTCGGTAATTTGCTGGCTTTTGGTACAGCTTTTGTGTAATGTGGAAGCAGTCTCTTGGCTGTTTACATCTTGTTGGTGAGCGAGACGTTTCGCATTTTGACAGGACTCCTCCATAAGCAGTCATCGTTTGCAGGATGGCGAGAAGGCGGAAAACTCAAATTTTAAATGGAGGCTGAGTTGTTCGTCGACGCAGTTTTCAGACCCATCTCCTAGCGCTTGAAAAAAACATCTTACTTGGTTCTACACTATTAGATCATCTCAGTTTTCTAAACTCTCTTGTCTGGCGCAAGACAGTTTCAGAGTTTCGACTTATATATGATGAAACTGTTTTTATGCAGAACAAAGGATTCGAGGTGGCTCATACTGTCAAAGATTTTGCAAAACAGATTTGACTCTACACATTTTGTTCTGAGTTTGTTCCTGTCAAATCATCTTCCAAGTTTTTAGTAATAACGGTTACATCGTTTAGCGTCGCGAATAATTGACTAATGATTATAAAAAACACTTGCAGTTAAAAGTAGATTATTTTGCGCATATAAACCGTAGTTTGACTGGCTCAACCTTCTTTGTTTTTGCGTTTGCGGGGAGTAATCGGAAAGAAGAATCTTGAAGTCACCTAAAAAAGTCAGATTCACTGATTAACAGTCAGAAGTGGTTACTCTATCTTTTAACAAATTTAAATTTGCTGGCTTTATATTTTTATGCTCATTGAGCAACAGTGACTTTTAATAGGCGTTTGGCCAATAACTTCTGCCTGCTTCTAAATGGCTCTAAGCCGGTTCAATCGACACTTTGTCATGTTGATCTTCGTACGCATGGCTCCGCAAATGGTACAGACGACAACTGTATGCTAAGTGTTTTTTTCTCCCCAATTTGCTTTTTTGCACTGCAGATAATAAAACGTAGGATGGTTTACCGGTATTTTGGAAATTAGCGGAATAAGGTGATAGAAGTAGTAAGCAGAAAAAAAAAAAAGAACTTTTAGAAAGAAAATAAAGAGAACAAAAACAGCAGGTACATCATGGTGTAGTAGAAAATAGCGGAGCAGAAGATTTGATGAAAGATTAAACCCGGTACTTTATAACCATCGGGCACAAAGCACATTTTTTCGTTTAACTTTTGTGCTGTCAAAGTGTTTTCTTATCAAGTTTAATGTATGACTGAAAATAACAGTTTCTGCTCAAACATAGTCAATGAGTACAACGAATCATTCACAAGGTTTTTTTTGTGTTTTACTCTTCACCCATTACTGTTTTTCAGAGTTACAAAGAAGAAATTCGTGCTAACTTTCCCTTCTTTTTTTGTCATTTTGCAGAAAAAAAAATATATATATTTTTTAAACCCCTAGTCGTTGATTTAGAACGCCAATGTTGAACTCTCAATAAGGGCATCAGTTCCAATATTTCTGTCTGCCTTTTTTTTTTTTTTGACAAATTGTTTGTTGTTTTATATTAGTTTTCACTGCATAGTATTTTGCAGTGATAAACTAACAAATTAGTTTTTTTTTATTTATCATATTGTTAAGAATCTTTGTTTTTTTCCCTTCAGCTGATGACCAACGATGGACATTCGCTTGTTGATATCTGTGAAACAATTTAGTAACGATAGGTAGTTTCGCATCTGTGCCATTAAAGCAATTAGTTAATCATGCTGATAATCTATCTCAAACCTAAAGAAACTGCATTGCTCATTTATAGCGCAGTATTATTTTCCGCTATGGTATACCATAAATTTACAGGCGGTCATCATTGTTTTTAAAATTTTCTTATTCCTTTTCTAATCATTTATGTAATTAACTTTGACATGTGGTAAAATTTAGATTGCACTATCGCATAGAAAACTTCAAACAGGGAACACATTTGACGCTTTAGTACATTGGGTTCGCCTGCACCCGCTAGCAGTTTCAGTTTAGTTTTATGCTGTATAAAGTCGCATCTTTACAAATTTAACTATCAGTACAATAAGATATATGAAGTAAGAGTCTTATTTTGAGTTTGTGATTATTAAATGGAAAAAAATTGACTGTAATATGTCATGTACAGGTGAATTGGACAAGAATAAGCTTTTTTTTGAACTTTTTACTTTTTTTTTTTTATTTTGAGGAATTTTGTTGTGCTGAGTGAGTTTCAGCTTTAAGAACTGTTGTTAGTTCAGCGAAATTTTGCATAAATCTGCTTTATGCATTAATCGTCTACTTTTAACTGCTAGCGAACAGTTATTACAAATTACGTAATGCTTCTCAAAAAAGTTTTTTTGTAGAATTTTTGAAGTTGAGCTAGATTACCTGAATCTTTGAAATTACCACAAAACGGATTCGATGTATGCGAATCAAACTTAAAAACGATTAAGCATTTTATCATTTTATTCTTCTCCATATTCAGCAGACCTTTTTTAGTGGAAGAAAGACTCTTAAATAGAAATATTATTCATACATAGTTTAATTATTCTGTTTATGCATTTATAAAACGATCTAAAGTATAGACATAAATTGGAGATAATTGTGGAGATTGGTTGTTAAAGACGCTTAACAGCATCAGATAGTTATGGAAAGAGACAAGTAGCATCAGTTTTATTCTCAACAGTTTGTACAATAATATTGTTACTGATGGAGCAGTTACTCAACATCTTCTGCTGATTGATCTATAAACTAAAAGGAAGTTTTTTTACCTGTAATGATGTTTTTTTGTGAATAACACAAAACCCAGTCTAAAATTATCACCAATTTGGTCGCTTCTAAAATACTATAGTGTAGGTCAATGAATTAACACGTCTTGTGAATTTCAGTTTTATGTTTGGTTTTAACTTTGAGAAGTACTATTCAAATGAAAGAACTTTAGAGCTGGTGTTAAAAAAAGTGCTAATTTTTGGAAAGAAAAGCCTTTTTTTGCATTACTTTTTACTTACAAAGTATTTGCAACAATTTGTCAAGGTCAGGAAAAGGCAGCCGACTGTACGGTTCGTACATTTCGTTCTCTTTTTTTTTCTACTTCTTGTTTTCTTAGGTGGAGAGCTTTGTTAGTTGGATATTTGTATGCTATCTGTGTACTGTGCTTGAGAGTTGCTTATAAACTCGTTGTTAGTTTATTTTTTTTGTTAAAATTATGCTTCTTGGTTAATTGGTATAACTATTTTCTTTGTTGCTTTTCAAAGTAAGAATTTAAAATTATTGTTCTGAAAGAGTATTTTAGTTACAGTATTTTTTGGAATAACTAAGCTTAAGAAAAGTTAAAGAACAAATGTCGAAATTTCAATGAGAACACTTTCTTCAAACATTACCATAAATATTCAAATTTATATAGACTTTATTGATTTAAAAAACAGCTATGAATTACCATTTGAACTCTTTAGTTTAGGAGAAGTATGGTCTTTGAAATTTTATTTGTAAAATGTTTTCGTTTAGCAGATAAATGTGGTAATGATTCAGTTCAGAATTGAAATTATTATGCCATTCTTTGATTACGCTGAGTAATTTTATTGGAGTTTGCTCTAAATAGTGTTCTAAACCTATCTTTTTCTTTTTGTTCCTGTTAGGCCGGGAAAAAGATCAAAAAATAATATGGCTTTTAAAGATGAAGTTGCATTTATTACTTACTTCCTGACAGGTTAAGCTGCTTTAATTGTATGCCGTTTTGTGGTAAACCAGTTAAGTTTGGCGGATACAAGCTGGGAAATTTTGTCGTTTCGAGCGTATTGAACTATTCATCAAAAAATTTAAAGTTAAGCTGAAATTAATTTATAAAAAAATTATCTGCAGTAGTTGTTCGAACAATTCAGAAATTTTATGAACAAATGATTTCTTGTGAGCAGCCATAATCGAAAAAAAATTTTTTTTTGTTGCAATAAATTTTTTAGTAATAGTAATGCATGTTTGCCAGTATTTTACCTGTCAGAAGTCTGTTCTAGAAGGCAGTGATTTCAGTTGAGAAAAACTTCAAGGTTTCGACAAAGTTGTTGTGAAAAAATGGTTTATATGGATTACGCTGGTGCCGGAAAGGCTTCGGTACAACAGATGAAGGCTGTGGCCAACGACCTTACAGATATGAACCTTTCAAATCCACACAGTAAACATTTATCTGGAAAATTTACATCGGCTGTGATTGATCGTGTCAGAGAAAGGTAATAAATTTTTGTAAGCAACAATTTGGCCTGTTAAATGTGTTAAATTTATTACTTTTTGATATCAAACACATGAAGAACTGCAAAAAAAGTTTTTCACATACCGTTTATGTGATTCTTGATTTCTGCTCGTTCTCATGTCTCTTTTTTTTGACAAGAAGAAACATTTACGTCACATTTGAAAAGAAATTTAGCAAAAAAAACTGGACGATTTTTTGTAAGTCTGGAACTGTTTTGCAGGAAATCATACAGTAAAAATTTTATTCATCATTTTCACCGATTTCTATTCGACTTGTTGCCTGAACTTAAGAAGTTTATTCTAGAAAAAACTTTGTAGTTGTTCATGGGACAAAATGCGTTACTCATTTAAAAAAATTTTCAAACTGCAAAAAACTTTCTCTCACAAATTAGTAATTATGAACTTTTTGAATAAAATAAATAAAAAATTGTTCAGAATTTCTTTATAAACATGCTTTTTTATTTCATTACGAAAAGAAGAACAAGCTATTTTCTCGTTGTAATAATCAATCTTTGAACTAATTTTTTTTTTGTAACAGATAGTCTAAAAAATTTGTTTAGAATCTTGCAACATTTCAAAGTCACTGCAGATTCACATGCTGTGATATTTACTTCTGGTGCAACAGAATCCTTAAAACTTGTAGCAGAAACTTTCGACTTTGGCAGTTGCAGCAAAACTGGCACGTTTAAAATTGGTTTACCAGAAAATGACAGTGAGTGTTTATTTTTTTTTTTTCAATTATGTATTCTTTGTTCAAGTATCTTCGTATATATCCAAATTAAATTATTTTTTAAAGAAAAACATTTAATTTTTCAATTTTTTACTAACCAAACATTTATTGGTCTTCTGACATATTGAGGTGGAGGAATCTTTGTTTACATGAGAGATTCTCATACCTCTGTTGCTGGAATGAGAGAACTGATTCGAAGCCGTTGTGATACTGTCAGTGTTGTTGATTTTGAAGACCTACAAGACCTGAAACCAGATGTCAGTAGCAATTGTCAGACAACTAACAGTCTGTTTGCAATCACTGCAATGAGCAATTTTTGTGGTAGGAAGTATGATTTGAGCATAATTGAAAGAATTCATCAATGGAGACCTGGTTGGTACTCTTTCTTTTTTGATATTATTTTTGAAGTTAAATGTTTTAAAAACAATTATTGCTGATGTTTTTTGCTATTGTAGGAGACATTCTTGAACCAAGCAGAATTTTGCTTTTTAAACTTTGATAAAGGAGGACAGCCAAACTTTTTGATTAGACAAAAAGTTAACCCAGAACAAACTTTATAGTTAGTTAATTTACTGAGACTTTATTTTTATAAACATTTGTATAGAAATGTTGCTCCGCTTCAGTTTTTCGTTATTGAAAATTTACCTTGAACCACGATGCTTTTTTTATAATTAATTAGCATTTAAATGTGCATTATCAAAGGAAGGTATAGGATTGTTGGAATTGATTGTTGGAAAGCTGCTTATTTTGAGGAGAGGGAAAAGTATATGCTGTTTTACTCTGCTCTTAATTATCTTCGCTTTATTTTTCTTTATCTTTTTTCTGCCTTTGATTATTTTAAATTTCTTGATATTTTAGTTTTGCTTATAATACGTGTAAGGAATTTTTAAATAGTCGTAATTTACCTACTACAGGAAAAAGTTTTGTGTGTCTTGATGCTGCAGCTTGGACGCCTTCTTCAGTCCTAGATTTGTCGAAATACAAAGCTGACTTTACAGCCATCTCATTTTACAAGGTATCTGAGGCAAAAATTGCACGAAAGAGATTTGTCTGAACGTATAATAGTTGTGTTTGGTAACAGTTTGCAGATTTTTGGTTATCCAACAGGCATCGGTGCACTAATCGTTCGGCATGATTCGATGGAGCTGCTCAAAAAGAATTATTTTGGTGGTGGAACTGTACGGCTTATGGTGCCTGATGATTTCAGTGTTTTTTATAAAAACGATTTCAGCGAAAGGTTGTATTAATTAATCTATTTTTCTTTTTAGCAAATACAAAAATTGGAAAGACGGAGAAAAATCAATTAAAAGCAGTAAAGGGATCTTACTTTAGAAAAAAGAAGTAGTTACCGGACTACCTATATATCTATTTCCATTATTACAGGAGTAGCTGAACCAATTGAGAATTTTATGAAAGAATTTAACACTTTTGTATGAACAAAGTTTAAATAAATGCAGTTTTTGGCTTTATCGTTATTTTTCTCTTTTATTCAGGTTTGAAGATGGAACAGTAAATTATTGGGGTATTGCGGCTGTGGAACGTGGTTTTGAAGACTTGGAAGCTTACGGTAGTTTTCAATAAGTTTTAAAGTGTAATTCTTTTACAGCTGAAACAAGCAGTAACAATTAAACGTCTATCGCTAATTACGGCTAGAAATATCTTAGGTGGGATGTCAGAAATTGAAAACAAAACTTATCGCCTTAGTAGTGCTTTACGCAAACTACTGAATCAAAAATACGACAATGGTTCCCCAGTTGCAAAGATTTATGAGCACAGCGGTGATGCTTCTAGTGAAACTCAGGGTCCAATAGTAACATTTAATCTATTGCGATCTGATGGTACCTATGTTGGATATGCAGAGGCAAGTTTATCAAATTTTACAGCAAACAGATCAATTTGGCTTTATTTTTTAATTTACAGTTTCTTTGTCAGAAGTTAACATCGTTTATTAAATAGTAGAGTAATAAATAGGTTGAAAAAATGTGCAGTTTATATGGTATCGAGCTTCGGACAGGATGTTTCTGTAATCAAGGAGCTTGCCAAAATTATCTTCAAATATCACGTGAAGAGCAACTGAAGAACTTTCAAGTAACTATATTTTATACTTGTACTATTATCATACTGTCAGCACTTTTAAAGAACACAATTTTTTTTACCAAGAAGAGTTGCTAATCTTTAAGTGTACCACATTAAAACTTACTAAAAATCAAGCTATTTGTGAATAAATTTTATTGCATTTCTATTACTGTCACCTTCAGAGCGGTAAAGAATGTGGCGATCAACGAGATTTGCAGAATGGTAAACCACTTGGAGCCGTTCGAGCTTCTTTTGGAAGGCAGTCCACTGATGAGGTGCAGGTTGAGAAAATGAAAAAATTCTCACTTTAGGGCTCAAAGTTACGGCAGAATTTTATGGTCGACTGAAGCTTTATATATAAAGATAATAACAAAGTTTTACATTTGAACAGTTGTACTCTAATCACTTCTCTATTGCATTCCTACTCAAGCAAAGTTCTAACAAATTGATTAGCAAAGTTCCTGAAAGAAATATGGCAACTGATCACTACTTTCAGTATTTCAAACTTGCTCAGTCTTGATTCAGTATAAATTAAGTATTACTGCTCTGCAATTTCCTAAACATTATAATTTTTTAAGGATGTGGAAGTTTTTGAACGAATGTTGAAAACTTGTTATTTGTCGAAGCGAGATAATGTCTCAAAAAGTACTGTTCAGAATATCGCTCCAATAACTCTAACACATATCTCTGTATACCCAGTGAAATCCTGTGCCGCATTTAGTCCAAAGAGGTTTTCTTTTAAAAATTACTGTTTCTTCTTGTTTCGACTTACAGTATATATAATGTATTCCTGTACAGAAGTGTTTGAACTCACATGCTGTTTAGGTGGACTCTGTCACCGACTGGTCTTAAGTACGATCGTTTGTGGATGATTACTTCATCTAATAACGTCTACCTTTCTTTGAAGACGGAGCCACAACTTTATCTAATTATGCCACAGGTTTTTTATCAATCATTATTGTACTTTGCTTTCAGAGTAGTTACAACCAGACTAATTTTAGTTTTATTTAAAATTATAATATTATTCTGTATTTTAGATAAATGACAATAACTTGACTTTAATTTCAAGAGATAAAAGCATTTCTAGTATGAGCGTTCCACTGGTTTGTTCGGAAGACTCAGCTTCAGAACTGCAGCGTGTTTGTTCCGATAGGTTTCGTTAATGTATATGCAATGTTTGATTTTGGACATAAAGCTTAAAATTATCAAGAAATCTGAAAACTGCTAGGCTTTGAATTTACAGGGTGCGCACAATTGACTGCGGTGATGAGGCTGCTAAGTGGATATCCAGGCTGACCAAAAGGGATAACTGTCGCCTCCAACGAAAACTTGAGGATCTCTCAGCGAGAACATGTTCTTTAAAAGGTGGATAAAGAATTTTTTCAAGTGGCCGTAAAGCTAAATTAGCTGACAGAAAGAATATTTTATTGAAATCAGTCTTGTTTTTTGTATTTTTTGAAAAGTTATTTCTTGAAACAAATTTATTTTTTGAGTGAGCTCAAAGCCACCGATGGCACTTGCAAACGAAGCTCCGTATCTGCTTATAAACAGAAATTCAGTGGCTGATGTAGCTTCCGTAGCTGGTCTGTCCACTGAAGAAGCAATCGACAGATTTCGAGCAAATTTTGTAATTGATGGACTTGAAGCTTTTGCTGAAGACAGGATAAGTCGTATTCAAATTGGGCAAACGTGGTTTACGGTCTGATTTTAGGCAGTAAATTTTATTTTAGTGAAATTCTTTGCTAGTTGACTTTTTTACTCTTGAAAATTTGAAAATAGGTTTAAAAAAGCACTTGACAGCAAATACTTTCACATCGTATAATTTGTAATTTTGCTTATTTTGAAAACTACAGGCTGTTGGAAAATGCACTAGGTGTCAAATAATTTGCATCGATCCGACAACTGGTGAAAAAAATCCAAGTATGCTGCTTGCACTACGGGATTATCGAACAGATACTAAAGTCTCTTTATTCGTTTGCAAATCATTTTTCTCTTTACATGGAATATTCAAATTACATTATTTACACTATGTTGTACAACAACATTCGATGACACATAAAATCTGTTAACAACTTTAGACAACATTTGGCATCTATCTACAACATGATGTTGGCAGCGAAGGAAAAACTTTAGAAGTTGGTATGCCGGTTGAAATTGTTTGGCAGTCAGGAAATTAGTTTGTCGTTGGCCAGTCAACTCTGACAGAAATTAACAGAAAAATCAAATATTTTTTTTCTTTTTTTCGAACTGTTATGTATAGAATAAACAGTTTTTCACTTCACTACTAATAGAGTTGTCAGATTACCAACGTGTAATTTACCCGCAAATAATGATCAAATCCCATCCAAGGAGTTTAATAAAGTTTAAAGACTATAACTGAAAATACAAATCATGCTTTTAGGATCTGTGCCTTCTTTTAGAAATCGGTTTCTGTGATCAGTCTTTGTCGTCTATCAACTTTACTTAAAGACATTTTTTGGCTAGCGTCACCGTTAACAGTCCAACAATTATGTCGGCTGCTGTGAGTCCGAGTGCAACACAAGCTAGGTAGAAACTGTAGCCCAGTTCTGTATCGCTGCTGAAATCTGTGGGGTTCGTACCACTTTCGATTTTGTCTGAAAATCAGATGACGTAATTTTTCAGCCAAATTTCTTATACAATAAAATTTTTTTTAGAGATTATAAAGGGATCTGCAGTCTTAAAGAGCATGAAAGCACAATTTAACGGTCAACATATACTATCACCTAATTCCAACATTAGTGTACCAAAAAATTGCTTAATCAACGCGCGGAAAAGCGATATTTGAATGCAAGTGCTTTTACGTAGCTACAATTTCTAATATAACACAGTTACTGACAGTAAACTTTGCTTCACTAAGTTTATTTTTTTAACATGTCAATTATTGAAAAGTTGAAACTGAGAAAGTACTATATTTTGATAAGAATATTATGCTTTCTTAATTTCAGCTTTTCTTTCTCCTGCTTTGAGAAAACAAAAAATTTGTATAAAAAAGTTAAAATTTTTGTACAGGATAATATTAAAACTATTCAAGTAAACTTGTAGTTTTTGTAAAATATTAACGACAATAAGTGATCTTTATAAAATTAACAGTTAATTTCAAAAGAAAAAAAGATGACCACCTTTTTTAGAGATGTCATTTGTCTGTAAAAATATTCATATAAAAAACATTTTTTTGTTAAACCTTAACAGATGACCGTGTCAATTTTTTCGGTATCTTACCTCTATTTTCTTCAATCATTTCTCCTAATGTAACATCAAAAAGATTTTTTTATTTATTATACTGTTCTGTTCTTACAGACACTATTAACTAGTCAACGCTGTTAGCTGATATTTGTCGTAATCAACGATTTTTGTATGCAAAAAAATTGTTCAAAAGAGTTGGAAAAGTACAGTGATTAGCTTACTGAAAACATCATTAAAAAGATTCTTGTTGTGGCTTCCATAGCATCCAACTGCTACAGCCAAGAAGATAGCTGCTAACCCAGCAAACAACGGTAATGGATATATCAAGAACTGTTTGCAACAGCAGGCGCAACAGGTTAATACTGTCCAGGCGATGGCAGCAATTTCCGATAACAGTGCTAATATCATTGTTGCCACAACTGCCTTCTCCCATCCTGGTAAATTCTAAAGACTACCAAATAATGTGCTGATAATAAAGTTAACAATTTTTTGGGTTTATTGACTGATTTATAAATCGTTAGATTTTTGAACAAAATAACAATAAACGCAGTGAAAAAGAAATGAATAAATTAGCGGTCATTCTTTCAATGATCAATGTTTCTGTAGGCATCAGAAAGAAGATCAAATTGTTTTCATTGTTTATTTAATTCGTGATATAACTATGTAACAAATTTTACTTACATCGAACCACTGTTTGCACTGATCTTCTGCATTTCCAGTAGAACTCTTGTTCTTTGAGTCGCCAGGCATTTTACAGAAGAAAGAAAAGATTCCTTTTGGAATTTTCTGATCTTTCAGGTCATTGACCACATCACCTCCGCTGTTTTTGAAATCTGCCCAACCTTAAAAAAAATTGCACTGTTGATGAAGAAAAACGTCTAGGAACAATGTAATAATTGCTGTCACTGTTGGTATATTGTCTAATAAGTGTCTAAGTTTTTACTAAACGGGTAATCAGTGCTTAACTAACCTGGAGAGAATACTGCAGCTACCGTTAAGCCAAATGCTACCACCATTACAGCAATGTAGACAATTTGACCGATCATTGAAAGACAACACATTTTTAGTTGAAAAATCTGTTAAATTTATTGAAGAAGGTTTTTAAGCCTGAAATTAATTGTTTGTTGACAAAGATTAAAACAAAAAAAAAAAAAAGAGAAAGAAAAACAGTTAAAAAACTTGTATTATTTGAGTAAAACAATTATTAATTGTATGCATTTTGTTGACTTTATTTGAACTGTAGCAAAAAGCAGAAAAAAAAAAAAAA